GAGACGCCGCGCCAAGGGGCGGAGACGCACGTAAAGGGGCGGGGCCGAGGAAGGCGGGGCGGAGGATTACGCCGGGACAGGCGACGACGACGTTAGCCACCGGGCGTCTGTGAGGACCATCGGCGACTCCGGGAAGGGATGTCCGCGGAATTGGTGGCAGGAGTCGGCTCTCGGGGCTGTTAGTAGGGGCTCGGGTTTGGGGTCGATAGTATAGGACTCTTACTGCGGGCTGTTAACGGGGGAAGGCGGATGGGGCACAGTGACTGGAAGGGTATTTGGGAGTATGCGTGAAAGAAGCGGGGTCTCTGATGGTTTGCAGAAGCAGGAGGGCAATTTAGGGCATTGACAGTTTGGAGAGTATTGTCTGGAGTGGTGACAGGTTGGGGGCCCAGCTAATCTGAGGACACTGTGTGGAAGGGTCCTGATGATAATCCCGAGGTCCAATATTGGGGTCAGCCCAAAGAGGTTACCTCGGACCTAGACACTGAATTTAAACAAGTCCCATTTTCTTCCTTTACTCATGAATAAACATTTGAATGAATAAATATTCGAGGAGTGTCACATCACTGATCACCAAGAGACCCTTTAACCTTAACTGGCGGAGGAATTAGAGGTGACTTTCAGGCTTGAAGAATTCCCCTGAGAGCCGGTCATGAGATGAGTTTCTTTATTTGGCTGTGGGAGTGGTTTAGCAATCACAGCCTGGGCCGTGTGTGTGTCACCTGCTGGGCACATGCCTTGAGGTTCTCCAATCAATGATGTCATTCCTCTCTTCCCAACAGAGTCATTCGCGCCATCTGCTCTTGGTCACCATCTGTTTATGAGCTGGTGAACATATAAAGAGAATATTCACTTAATTGGACACATGACTTTTTGCACATGGCTGTGATACTGATGCACACAGAAGGCCAAAGTGATTGAACATTATCATTCTTCATTTCCTGCATTTGAAATTCCTGATTGATGCTGTGGAATCTAGCTCCATTCTAAAAGTATTTTTGTTATGTAAAGATTGTGTGTCTGGGGACCAGCAGATGACATAATGGTTACATCGCTGGACTCTCACATAGTTGACCATGGTTCAAGTACTGGACCCAACCACTTCAAACTCACGCTTGGCGTGTGTGCGTGCATGCCCAAGATCCTATGAGAGGAGAACAGAGGAAAAAGGATTGTGTGTCTGAGCAACCAAGATAGATATTTGTTTAAAGAATTATTTAATTTTATTTATCATTATTTTTTAAATTTGCTACAGGGCATGTGCACTCACCAGAGAGAGACAGAGAGGGAAAATGAGAAAGCAAGTCACCAGGTCCAAGACTTGTCCAAGGCAGGTCATGTGGGAGTCCAGAACCTTAACTACCACATCACCTGCTAGCCCCTAGATATTTGTTTTTAATGAAGTTAAAAAATCCTTTCCATGGGGCCAGCAGGTGGCATGGTAGTTGAGACACTGGACTCCCACATGGCCAATAATAATTTGAGTCTCAGACCTGAAGACTTGCTTTCTCACTTTCCCTCTCTCGCTCTCTGTCTCTCTCTGGTGAATTAAAAACTAATAATAGGGCCTGCAGGTAGTGTGGTGGTTAAGGCGCTGGACACTCCCACGTGGCCAATCACAGTTTGAGTCCCAGACCTTGTGCTTGTTTTCTCACTTTCCTTCTCTCTGTCTGTCTGTCTTTCTCTGGTCAAATTAAAATAAGTGAATGAGGGACCAGCAGATGGCATAATGGTTATGTCGCTGGACTCCCATGTATAAGTCCCGACCCCCGTGGCTTAAACTCACGTGGGGCGCATGTGTGTCTGTGCCCAAGATCCCAAGAGGAGAATGGAGAGTAAGGGATTGCGTCATGGCCATCCCCCCCAGGGAGTGATTTCTTGTTTTCTGTGTCTCTGTCTCTCTCTTTCTGGTGAACACACACACCCTGTAGCAAAAAGTTCTCCAAATAAATAAATAAAATCTTTCAAAGAAATACTAAATTAATTAATTAATTAAAATAGTTCTTTTTTTTTGTTATATCCCTTGCATTTCACACTTAGAAATTAGTGTTGTTGCATACAAGAGTACTATGCCCAGTGCTGGAGAAAAACGGTGAACATATAGACAACATCCTTACAGTGTTGGCATTCTAGTGGGACAAGACAAAAAATATATCAGGCCAGCAGGTGGCATGGTGGTTAAGGTGTTGGATTCCCACATGGCCAACCACAGTTCAAGTCTTAGACCTGGTGGTTTGAAAATCATCCTGAGTGAATGTGCGTGTATGTCCAAAATTCCGGGAGGAGAGTAGAAGGAAAGGGATTGTGTCATGGCCATCCTCCCCAGGAGGTGGTTTTCACTTTCACTTTTCTTCCCACGGTCTCTCTCAGGCAAGCCCATGCTCCCTATTTTTAAATGTGTGTATATATATACACATACATATATACACACACACACACACACACGTATTTGCAAGTAAATATCTTGTTTTTGTATATAGTAAGTGCCATTCTCGTTCACCATGAGAAAATATGTGAATATAGTTACAAACTAGAGGTGTGACACTACGCTCATGAATTCTAAGAACACTAAGGAGCCCCTGTGGTTGGGGCTGAATAAGCAAGGAAACAAGGGGGAGTGTGTTAGGACATGAAATCAAAGAGATCTAGAAACTATGTTGAGCTTTGAATTCCATGTGAAGAACTTTGAATTTTACTTAGAATAACATGAAAAGTCAGTGGAGGGTTTTAAGCAGAAGTGTAACATGATCTAACTTTGCTTTTTAAATGATCAGGCTAGCTTCTGTGTAGACAGTAGACTGTGGGGGGCTGAGGGTAGAAGTAGGGAAATGGCAGGAGCTATTATGATAATCCAGTTGAAAGATGATGATGGATTAGTCCACTGTTGTATGTGGCGTTGATAGGAAGCAGCTGTATTCTGAATATATATATATATTTTTTTTGAGAGGTTATAGGGTGCGTGTGCTCGCCAGAGAGACATAGAGTCAGAAAGCAAGAAATCACTCCCCAGGGGGGATGGTCATGCCGCAATCCCTTCTCCTCCATTCTCCTCTCAGGATCTTGGGCACGCACACACACACGCCCAGCGTGAGTTGTAGGCCACCGGGTCCGGGACGCAAACTGCGGTCGACTACGTGGGAGTCCAGAGACATAGCCATTATGCTAACTGCTGGTTCCCAATTCTGAATATATTTTGAAGGTAAAGCTGAAAAAATTTGCTGATAGATTGGATGAAAGTATAGGAGATAAGTCAAACTCAATGTTTTTTTAAAAATTATTTCATTTTATTTATTATCATTATTATTTTTCAGTTCACTACCAGACACATGAGCTGACCAGAGAGAGACAGAATGAAAGGAAGAAGGAAAGTGAGAAAGCAAGCTGCCTGGTCCAGGATTTGAACTGTGGTTGATCATGTGGGAATCCAGCAACCTCAACCATCATGCCACCTGCTGGCACTCACAACCAATGTTTTTGAAGGATGAAATTCCCACTTACTGAAATAGGGTGGAGACAAATTGGGGAGTGAGAATTTCAAGTTTGGTTTTAGGGGGCCAGCAGGTGGTAGTTGAGGTGCTGGACATACTGCATAGCCAACTGAGGTTTGAGTCCTAGACTTGGCAGCTTGTTTTCTCACATTCTCTCTCTCTCTCTCTCTTGTGATTTGATGTGAAAAAAAAAACACATGATAATAACAAAATAATTATTTTTTGAAGTTTGGTTTTAGATATATCAAGTATGAGATGTCCAAGAGACACATCCAAGTGAAGATGTAGAGTAAGTGAATAGCTCCATGAGTTTCAAAGTCAGGAGAGAAGTATTTAAAGCTATTGAACTTGGTGAGATAGGCTAGACAGACAGTGAATGAAAAATAAAAATATCTATTTGCAAGTAGCATTAAACACTGAGGAATAAAGATGATTGTTTACCATCTCACTGTCAGGAAGTCAGTGGTGTCAGAAATTGGACTCAAGATTTCTGCTTCCATTTACTGAGCTGGTCATTCTGTCCTAGTCCAACACATGTGTATATGACCTTGCATGTGGAACAGCTTAGTGCACACCTCACAGGAAAGATCCTCTGCTCACCAACTCAAAGGCATGGCTCCTGAGGGTCCCATAACATACAATGTCTTCCTTGTCTACTTAACTACTTTTTGGTGTCTTTTCCCAGTTTATCATGCCCGTTAGCTACTCTGATCTGCTTTGATAATGTGCACCCATCACCTTCCTTATCTATCAGGTCATTGTTATTAGCTTATTGAATGTTCTAAGGATGCTGAACACCTTCCTTGTGGGGGTGGTTAGTCAAGGAGGTGAGTCAGGAAGAAAAATGGCATAGTGAATAATATTAACAGACTTATAAAACATGCAGGATGAGTTTCAAATGTTGAAGAGGTCTGTAGACATGGATACTGAGGGACCAGCACACAGCCAGATGTAGCTCTGCAAGAAAGACTTCACAGAGAATGTCAATCACTGATACAGAAAGAAGGGTATAAATTAAACCTCTTACCCCCCCAAAAAATATACATACCCTTTTTTTGGGGGGGAGAGGTTTTTGCTATAGGTGCATATGCGCTCACCAGAAAGAGACAAGAGACAGAGAGACAGAAAGCGAGTAATCACCTCCCATGGGGGATGGCCACAACGAAATCCCTTCTCCTCCATTCTCCTCTCGGGATCTTGGGCTCACACGCACATGTGCCTGGTGTGAGTTTTATGCCACGGGGTCTGGAACAGGAACCGCGGTCGACTACATGGGAGTCCAGCGACATAGCATTACGCTAACTACTGGTCCCCAAAAAGGTATATTTTTTAAAGGAAAAACTTTCCTTTTCAAGTAAAAACAAAGGCTGTGATTAGAAGAGGGAGCCAGGAGGCCATATAGATAAATGCTAAAATAAAATAACCATTAGAAAATTCTTGAAGCAAACATCCAGAAGTTCTGAACTGATTCGAGAGACCTTGGACGACTCTGCCTTTGAAGGTATGAAATGGGAGAACATTATGGAAACACTGAGTCAGTTCTCAGTCACAAATGTGTGAAAATAACACAATATACAGAGATCTTTGGCATTAGTAAAATCTAATTCTCTGTTACAGAATTGAAATAAAACCACAAAGTGGAAGGCTGGCCTAATAGTGCAACAGTTAAGCCCTGTGCAAAGGGAACCAGATCCCACATGACTGACCATGGTTGGAATCCCAGCATTGACAGTTTGAAATACACACTGGGTGTGACCAGCAGGTGGTGTGTGGTTAATGCACTGAACTTTCACATGGTCAACGACGGTTCGAGTCCTGAACCCGGCCGCTTGAAACTCATACTGGGTTTGTGTGTGTGTGTGTGTGTGTGTGTGTGTGTGTGTGTGTGTGTGTGTGCGCGCCCAAAATCGCTCACCAACTCAAAGGCATGGCTCCTGAGGGTCCCATAACATACAATGTCTTCCTTGTCTACTTAACTACTTTTTGGTGTCTTTTCCCAGTTTATCATGCCCGTTAGCTACTCTGATCTGCTTTGATAATGTGCACCCATCACCTTCCTTATCTATCAGGTCATTGTTATTAGCTTATTGAATGTTCTAAGGATGCTGAACACCTTCCTTGTGGGGGTGGTTAGTCAAGGAGGTGAGTCAGGAAGAAAAATGGCATAGTGAATAATATTAACAGACTTATAAAACATGCAGGATGAGTTTCAAATGTTGAAGAGGTCTGTAGACATGGATACTGAGGGACCAGCACACAGCCAGATGTAGCTCTGCAAGAAAGACTTCACAGAGAATGTCAATCACTGATACAGAAAGAAGGGTATAAATTAAACCTCTTACCCCCCCAAAAAATATACATACCCTTTTTTTGGGGGGGAGAGGTTTTTGCTATAGGTGCATATGCGCTCACCAGAAAGAGACAAGAGACAGAGAGACAGAAAGCGAGTAATCACCTCCCATGGGGGATGGCCACAACGAAATCCCTTCTCCTCCATTCTCCTCTCGGGATCTTGGGCTCACACGCACATGTGCCTGGTGTGAGTTTTATGCCACGGGGTCTGGAACAGGAACCGCGGTCGACTACATGGGAGTCCAGCGACATAGCATTACGCTAACTACTGGTCCCCAAAAAGGTATATTTTTTAAAGGAAAAACTTTCCTTTTCAAGTAAAAACAAAGGCTGTGATTAGAAGAGGGAGCCAGGAGGCCATATAGATAAATGCTAAAATAAAATAACCATTAGAAAATTCTTGAAGGAGGCCATATAGATAAATGCTAAAATAAAATAACCATTAGAAAATTCTTGAAGCAAACATCCAGAAGTTCTGAACTGATTCGAGAGACCTTGGACGACTCTGCCTTTGAAGGTATGAAATGGGAGAACATTATGGAAACACTGAGTCAGTTCTCAGTCACAAATGTGTGAAAATAACACAATATACAGAGATCTTTGGCATTAGTAAAATCTAATTCTCTGTTACAGAATTGAAATAAAACCACAAAGTGGAAGGCTGGCCTAATAGTGCAACAGTTAAGCCCTGTGCAAAGGGAACCAGATCCCACATGACTGACCATGGTTGGAATCCCAGCATTGACAGTTTGAAATACACACTGGGTGTGACCAGCAGGTGGTGTGTGGTTAATGCACTGAACTTTCACATGGTCAACGACGGTTCGAGTCCTGAACCCGGCCGCTTGAAACTCATACTGGGTTTGTGTGTGTGTGTGTGTGTGTGTGTGTGTGTGTGTGTGTGTGTGTGTGTGTGTGCGCGCCCAAAATCCTGAGAGGAGAATGGAAGAAAAGAAAGTGCAGCCTGGTGGGGGTGATCGCTCCCTTTTTGTCTCTCTGGTGAGCACACGCACCCTGTAGCAAACCGGCGATGTAACTTGTACCCAGTACAAAATAAGAGTGTTATGCAGTGATTCCCCTTCACTTCTGGAAGCGCTGGGGATCTGCGTCCTGTTCCAGTACCTATGCTCCTAGGGAGCACACTGGAAGCAACAGAAAATCTGGAGGCAAAGGAGCCAGGTCGTAGCCCAAGACCAGGTCCAGAACCTATTTATGTGCTTGGCTGGACTTCCTTATGAACCACACTGGGGTTAACAGTCGACACGTAAGCAGGTAGGGCAAGTTTTACAAACATTTCATTTTATCGACGTTAACACAGAAAACCACTACCACTAAGGACAGGATCGCGGGCGTAAAGCGAGGTCTTCAGTCCGCCGGCGGGCACGCCCCCACTGGCCCCGCCCCTCCCACAGCAAGTCCTTGCGATTGGTTCCTTTCCCTGCGCGGCCGGTTGCCGTGGAGACCACGGCGATGGCTACCAAGTGAAGTCAAACTTGGTTCGTCCCGCTCGAATTGCGAAGGGGTCGCGGCGCGCGGCGGTGCTGAGCGCGGCGTTTATGGCGCTGTACGAGCTCTTCTCTCACCCCGCGGAGCGCCGCTACCGCGCGGGGCTCTGCTCCAAGGCCGCAGTGTTCCTGCTGGTGGCGGCCGCGCTCACGTACATCCCGCCGCTGCTGGTGGCCTTCCGGAGTCACGGTGAGCCTTCCCCCGGCCTCTGCGCGTCCCAGCTCCCCTCGACGCGCTCGGTCCCGGGGCCTACCTGATAGCCTCCCCACCGCCCTCTTTATCTCAGGCTTTTGGCTGAAACGGAGCAGCTACGAGGAGCAGCCGACCGTGCGCTTCCGGCACCAGGTGCTGCTCGTGGCCTTGCTGGGACCCGAGCGCGGCGGGTTCCTCGCCTGGAGCACGTTCTCTGCTTTCAACCGGCTGCAGGGCGATCACCTGCGCGTCCCGTTCGTATCGGTGCGTGGTTCTCGCCGGGCCTCCGCGCCCGGGTACTGGCGTCAGGACGGGATGGGGCGCGGGCGAGTTAGCGTCTTGAGGCCTCGCAAGCGCAAGAGGTGGTATACACCGGCTCTTGGGCCTGCGCGCCTGTTTAATTTCCTGGGGTGTCAATCGTTTCATTCAGCTTCTCCCGGGCCTCCACCTCTCCCAAAAGTTAGCCACACCGTTGGCGTGTGTGTGCCGACACAGTGTCCAGGAGCCTGGGGACAGCCTTCTCACATCCGTTCTCCTGGCCTGATGGGAGGGTGGTTATGACAGTCCCTTTAGGATTTTGAAGCCCAGCAGCCACACTTTGGAGCTATTACTGTAGCCCCAAAATACTAGTATAGGGGAGACAAGCATTTAATTAAGTGATAAGTGGTGTTACCTTTGGGGGGAATATAGATTTCCCTAAAACCTGCAGTCAAGCTTGTACCCAATAAAAGATAAAGTGTACCAGAGAGGGCTGTGTAGAATCCCTCTCTGTCTCTAGAAGAGCTGCGGGATTTGTGTCTTGTTCCTGTGTCTGTCCTGCTATTGACTGCGTCAGTGCATCCTAACACCATACAAGCGGAAAGGGCAGGGATTTTAATGCAGACTTGACCCGAGGAAGCCAAGAGTGTGCCCATGTAAAACCGATACATACAAATTTGAAAACAAGTACATAAAATGGCATAGCACCTTTGAAAAATAGTTTGACAATTCTTGAAATAATTAAACAGAGTAGGGGCCAGCCAGTAGTGTTGTGGTTAAGGCAGCTGCATCCCACATGCCAACTACATTAGAATCCCAGACCTGGCAGCTTGAAGGACACACCAGGCACATATGTGTGCATGCCCAAAATCTCAAGAGAAGAATGGAGAAGGGATTGTGGTGTGGCCATCCCCTTGGGGGAATGGGGAGGGGGGTTTCTTACTTTCTGTCTCTCTCTGTCTTTCTCTCTATCTCTCTGTCAATGGACACATGCACTCTATAGCAAATATTTTTTTAAAAGAAGTTAAACACGGGGCCAGCAGTTAGCATAATGACTATGTCGCTGGACTCCCACATAGTCGACCGCGGTTCACGTCCCGGACCCGGTGACTTGAAACTCATGCCGGGCGCATGTGCGTGCGTGCCCAAGATCCCGAGAGGAGATTGGAGGAGAAGGGATTGCGGCGTGGCCATCCCCCCTGGGGGGTGATTTCTCGCTCTCTGTCTCTCTCTGTCTGTCTGGTGAGAGCACACGCCCTATAGCGGAAAAAAACTCTAAAAAAAAAAAAGAAGTTAAACAGTTACCATATGACCCACCCAGTATTTCCACTTCTAAGTCTTCAACAGAAGCAGAGACATATGTCTACACAAAAACTTGTGCAACAAAATTGATAGGAGTCTTATTCACAAAGCAAAAATGTAGAAATACCCCAGATGTCAATCATCTTATGGATGGATGAGCAAAATGTGGTATGTTCATACAGTGGAATATTATCCAGCCATTACAAGGAATAAAATCCTAATATATACACAAAGGTTTAATAAACCTTTAAAATATGCTGAGGGGCTAGCAGGTGGTGTGGTGGTTAAGGTGCTAGACTCCCACACATCCAACCTGCATTTCGAGTCCCAGACCTGGCAGCTTGAAAATCACACCAGCCACATGTGCACACATGCTCCAGATCCCAAGAGGGGAATGGAAGAGAGGGGACTGCCGCATGGCCATCCCTGCTGGGGTGTGATTTCTCACTTTCTCTCTCTCTGGCTCCCTGTCTCTCTCTGGTAATCATGCATACCCTGTGAGAAAAACCTAAAAAAACAAAGACAAAAAAATTATGCTAACTGAAAGAATCCACTAGGGGCCAGCAGTTAGTGTAATGCCTATGTCGCTGGACTCTCACATAGTTGACCACAGTTTGCGTCCTGGACCCAGTGCCTTAAAACTCACACCGGGTGCGTGTGCGTGGATGCCCAAGATCCCGAGAGGAGAATGGAGGAGAAGGGATTGCGGCGTGGCCATCCCCCCTGGGGGGTGATTTCTCGCTTTCTCTCTCTCTGTCTGTCTGGCAAGCGCACATGCCCTATAGCAAAAAACAAAACAAAACAAAAAAAACCTCTCCAAAAAAATAAAATAAAAAGAAAGAAAGAGTCCACTCACAGAATAGCATGTGTTGTATAATTCCATTTATACACAACGGCCACAGAGGAAGGAAGTGAAGAGGGGCTGCAAGGGGCTGAGAGAAGGAGGTGGTGGAGAGCTGGGACATGACTGTTAAGGGATATGGAATTTCTTTTATGGATGATGCATATGTTCTGAAACTGGAATTAGATTGTGGTGATGTTGCACAACTTTGAATATACTAAAGTCTACTGAATTATATTTTTGAAAGGGCAGATTTTTTTAAAGAATTATTTATTTAATTTTATTTATCCATTCATTTATTTTGATTTGACCAGAGAGAGAGAGAAACAGAGAGAGAGAGAGGAAGTGAGAAAACAAGCTACCAGGTCCGTGACTCAAACACTCCATGTTTGAGTGTTTAACACCTTAACCACCACCCCACCTGCTAGTCCACCAAAGGGTAGATTTTATGGTAGGTGAATTTTTTTGTCAATATTCAGAAAAACAGGTAATAGTCTGATAATACGTTTATAAACTATACTAGTAAAAATTACTATTGATTTACTCTGCCCCAGGTATGTGATAAGCATTTTTGTCATCAAATAATACATTTAAAGTTCTTTACATAGTATTGAGCCTATAATAATCACTTAGTAAATGTTAATTTTTTTAAATATGTTTTCTCTTGGACCAGCCCCATACCACAAATGGTTAAAGGAGCCAGATTTCACATGGCCAACCATGGTTCGAATCCTGGCTCAAGTGGCCTGAAAAACACACTGGGTGGCAGGGATGGAGCAGCAGGTGTCAAACTGTTTAAGGCACTGGACCCCCACATAGCTGACCACAGTTTGAGTCATGGATCTAGCAGCTTGAAAATCACACTGGGTGCATATGCATGCGTGTCCAAAATCCCAAGAGGAGAATGAAGGAGAAGGCATTGCAGCATGGCCATCCCCCGTGGAGGGTAATTTCTCACTTTCCCACTCTGTGTCCCTCTCGTCCCTCTCTGGCAGCAAGTATATATTCCCTGTAACAAAAACCTAAAAAAGGAAAATAAAAAAACATAACCAGTGCATGTGCATGCGTACACGCAAGCCCAAAAACCTGACAGGAAGGAGGCACAGAGAAAGGGAATTGCGGCATGACCACACCCATTGTGGAATGCTTTCTCTCTGGCAAGCTCATATACCTCTGGCAATTAAAAAATAATTAAAATTAAGGGACCAGCAAATGGTGTAATGGCTGTGTCACTGGACTCCCATGTAGTTGACTGTGGTTCGAGTCCCGGACCCTGTAGCTTAAAACAGACTAGGTGCATGTGCATACACATACGTGCCCCAAATCCCAAGAGGAGACTGGAGGAGAAGGGATTGCAGCGTGGCCATTCCCCTGGGAGGTGATTTCTCGCTTTCTGTCTGTCTGTCTCTGTCGTTCTGGTGAGCACACACACCCCATAGCAAAAACCGCTCAAAAAAATATTATATTGAGATCAACAGACGGCATAATGGTTACACTGCGACTGTGGTTCGAGTCCCGGACCCTGTAGCTTAAAACAGACTAGGTGCATGTGCATACACATACGTGCCCAAAATCCCAAGAGGAGACTGGAGGAGAAGGGATTGCAGCATGGCCATCCCTGCTGGGGTATGATTTCTGGTTTCCTGTCTCTCTGGTGAACATACACACCCTTTAGCAAAAATCTCTCTCAAAAAGAAAAAAAAAAAAGGACCAGCAGATGGTGTAATTGTTACGTCGCTGGACTCCCACATAGTCAACTGTGGTTCATGTACCAGACCCTACAGCTTCAAACTCATACCAGATGCATATGTGATCTCCAGAGAAGAATGGACCAAGATGCCAACAGGAGAATTGAGACAGGATTGGAGCATGGCCATCCCCCCTAGAGGGTGATTTCTTGCTCTCTCTGTCTGTGTCTCTGGTGAGCACATGTGCCCTATAGCAAAAACAAAACAAAAAAACACCTCCCTTTAAAAAAAGAAAAAGGGGGCCAGCAGGTAGCGTGGTGGTTAAGGATGCTGGACATTCTCACATGGCTGACTGCAGTTCAAGTCCCAGATCTGACTACGTGCTTTCTCACTTTCTCTCTCTTTCTGGTCAGATTTAAAGAAATAAAGAAATAAAGCTAAATAAAATAATTATATAGAGAGGGAGAGAAAGAGAGAGACCAGCAGATAGCATAACGATTACGTCGTTGGACTCTCTCTCGTAGTCGACTGGAGGCTTAAACTCACGCTGGGCGCATTTGGTCCTAAGAGGCGAATGGAGAAGGGATTGCAGAGTGGCCATCTCCCTGGGGGGTGATTTCTTGCTTTCTGTTTCTCTGTCTCTCTCTGTCTCTCTGGTAAGTGCATGTACTCTATAGCAAAACTCTGTAAAGAGAGATTTCTTTAATCATCACAGTTACCCTGTCAGGTGGAGGTTATACTGCCATTTTACAGATAAAGAAACAGGAAAATGATATAATTAGTCCTAGCTTTTGAATCAACAGTCCAGACCAGAACTCACTATTTCTTGTTCTGTATCTTGTTCTCTTAGTCCTTACTACAAACAATTCTTTTATTTTCTTACTCAACATAAAGCCAGACTGGTTTCAGTCTGCCTGGGAACCTGTCCAGGAAGCCTAGGAAGTAGTGGTTTTAGGTCACACTTGGACCAAATGCTGACAGGCAGTTTGCACTTGCCAATTTGGGAAAATGCACCAGGGGTCACAAACATCCTTGCTTCTGTTTGGGTCCGCTCACCATCAGCTCACCTTTCAACTCAGTCAGCGATGTCCATTCTAGAATTCCTATGTTTTTAATGCTTTCAAAGTCTAGTTTTTGTTGTTTTCAGTGAGAAAAAGAAAAGACTGAATGACCCT